AAATATATTTCAGCCATATTTATATTGGTCGTCATTGATAATTATTCACCACGGCGAGAGTAAGAAGAGATCTCTTCTGGAGATAAGCTCACCTTTGTATATGTCCTTTGTAATTTTAATGTCATTTATTTGTACAATAAAGAATTATAAAATCTGCAAAATACCCGGCTGTTTAACGACACGCAACGCCCCGTCATGTCGCCATCGGGCGCTTGTTGACGTCGGATTTGTGTCAAACCTTCTTCGCCTGATATTATTTTATTCATATTAATTCACAGCGCGCGGATTGCGAGTAGCGATCGTCGATTCGTAAAATCTAGGCTCGCGTTGACATAACATAGCATAAAATAATCTGTCACTCATCCTAGAAACACTCGATGTCTCTTACAATATTGATAAAAATAATTATATACATACTATTGACGAATTAATTTGTTTAGGAAACATAGATGGCGGGACGTGAAATATAAATAAGCAAGTTAGTAAAAAGTGAAATTGTTTAATATTGAACTGACCAACGCTTACGCTTAAATTGAAAAGCGTGCATAAGTGCTTATCAGTAGCGAGGCGTCCATTTAACTCGATTCCCACCGGCTTGCCTAAAATTTTCCACGTATCGTCAAATATCATAAATATTTTAAAGTAATTTACTACATTTTGTGCTTAATTGTAAGTATAGAATAATTAACTAGTATCTTGTGTGCTAATAAGTTTGTTAAGACAAGTGTTTTTTTGTTTTGCTCCGCCTTTACTAAAGATAATTTTCATATGCTAAAAATATATATTTAAAATTTTAAAGCGGGCCACCCCCTGGGCGGCATGCTAGAGAAAGCTTTGCGAAGGTTGGCAACAAAATTTATCCGAAAGAAATCTTTCGGATAAATTTCGTTTTTTCAAACAATATGTCAATCGTCCTAGGATCTCTAAAGCGCTCGACACTTTAGTGTGTTTGTTTATTGATAGCTAAATTTTCGACGGGATGTTTTAGCGGTTTGCTTATAATATTGCCTAACTGTTTATCTGACCGTGGTGCTATTGACAAGGGATATTTTTTTTCCTATGTTATTACTCGATGACGTATCTACGCAATTTGTTTATGTAGTTAAGTGTTTATTCACGTAGGTACTTAAAGGCGATATTATTGTCACAAAGAAAAGCATGACCTGGTTTCGTTATATACGTAAATCTAGTAAATAGATAATGTTGTTCTGTTTTCGAATTAATCTAACTTTGACGTCATTGATTGGCGAAGATAGAGTTTCCATTATCTTAGTAGGTTGATTTGACACATTTTTGGACTTTGCAAAGTAGGCGTTTGTTTGACTTTTGACATAATTTTTTTTGTTACTTAAGTTGACTTCCTGCTTGTATGACCTTATAGACCCTATTAATCTTAAATCCCTTCTTTTTTATGTATTTACTCCATTTGTTAACATTTTGTGTGATTTTATCCGTTCTAATAATATTAGGGTCTAGTTTGTTCCTTGTCTATATTTGTTCTTTGTCACCTCCGAAAGCGGTTTGAACCAAAATCACCTTTTCCTTACTCGTCGTGCCACCTATTTGTAATTAATATTCTGTGTACCTCACCTCACTCTTGATGCAAATCTCGACTGGCATAGGGTCGTCATCCAGGGATATGTGTGGTTGGTATAAACAGCATACCCAATTATCTCTCTTACTCACTATAATATTTATTATAAAAACTACATGTTACAAGAGTATGTAGAGTGCGTCATCAATCGATGAGCGACCGCATGTATCTAAGTATGAAATGCTTACGCTAGCTTATTATTTATATTACACACTACAATGTGCTTGTTGCTGATCTATGTTTCTGATTTGAACTGCTTTGTACCGTAGTGAGTGCTTATTGCAGAGCTTAATAATACAATTATTAAAGCGACAAAACTAGAGATCTAGTCAGCCGCTGGTCGCTGTAAAGGGGAGTGAAGAAAAACTTTCATAGATTTCTCAAACAGCAAAAAAGTCGTTAAAACCAACAACAAAGATATGCAACAAGCACATAGAAAAATTCGTAAGATCTGCTGGTACGTTCCGTAGGTCACATAAGTAGCAGTTCTCGTTGGGAAACAGTGTGGGTTTAGGTTAACACTCATAAATAGAAGGCTTACTATTACACTACTTTTATTTAACAGCTTAATTATAATTATCACAATGGTTCAAGTGGAGACACTGTCTGACGTCGAAGTGAACAAAAACACAGACAAAAATGCGCGCAAACAGCGTTATTTTAACGGCTTCGTCCGCCACTAGAGTACGCCCAGGGAAGTACTACCACCTTTCCTATTTCTACCGCCAAGCAGTAATGTGAGCATTACTGCGTTCCGGTTTAAGAAGGGTAAGGATGCTGGTGAAATTACAGGCACGTGGGGCTTGTCAACTTATATCTCTAGGTGACGGGCGCAGTGGCAGTGCCCCTAACATCTTTACCCTTTAAAGTTCTGAGTGGCATTGCAACTGTTATGGATTGGCGTGTCGCTTACCACCGGACGTACGACTCGATCGCCCGTCATCAGTTATTATATTTAAAAAAAATATTATCATGATAGTAAAATATCGATACATAATAATAATAATAATAACGCACACCCTCAACATAGTCCCGCACTAGGAAACCCTGTATCGTGGGTGCCATGGACACACATAGACAACCACAAATTACACCAAAACTCACGAGATAAATAAATGTAGGCCATACAAATATTTCTTCCGGCCCGGGAATCGAACCTGGGACCTCTGCGTGGCAGTCCGGCATGGTAACCGGTTCAGGCACGGTAGCAGTTATTAGCATGACGATTATATTCAATAAACTTAATATTACATTAATAAAATCGTAAAAACTCATCATAATACGTCAGTTGGCAAGGTAAGAATGATGTGAAGAATTCGACTATAGAGCTACAGTATCTTCAAGCAATAATGTGCATGTTGCCATTATTTGAGTTAAGTGTAATATAAGAGATCTCCGTTACAAACCGTTGCTTATAAAATAAACACTTATTGTTGCATCATTTATTTTGTTTCTTTATCAGAATGAAATGTTGTTGCATAATGCACTCTCTGGCATTAAAATACAAAATATTAGATGACCATTTATTATGTCTATTATGTTATATGCGCATTTCACTTCCACTTTAGGTGTATTCCAGCAGGTAAGATGCAATACCTAAATGCCTGTAACGAAAGTTATAATGTTCAAGGAACATGTTTGCAGACAAGAAATTCTACTCCTTAGCAATTCTGCAACAAGCGCATACAAAAATTCGCAAGATCCGCTATTTCGTTACGAGGCTTAGTTGTCATAACATATCTTTGTATTAATAATTATAACAAACTAGAGGAGTAATTTCACAAAAATAATTAAATGTCGCGGTGGTCAAATATTGACATTCAATAAATTAATTACAATTATTAAAGCGACATCTGTAGTCAGCTGCTGTAAAGGTATCTGACTGGGTTCGCTCAGAATAAAACTTAAAAATGATAGAGAGTTTTAAAGTTTTCACGATTGTTACACATAAGAAATGAAACTATTTTCGAATGTAAATCGCGTATATTTGTTTTTTCAAACAAACCAACGTTTCGGGTCCTTTATAGGTCCCATAGCAATGTCACGACTGACTGAGATGGTAAAGTCATCAACCAGTTACCTTTAAGGGAGATACCACACTTAAACACAAGGAATCCCATTAAGACGGTCAGAAAAAACTTTGACTTTTTTGCTCTTATTATAAGAGCAAAAATGCCGTTGTGCATTCCGTGTCGGCGGACCAACCGGAAGCGAAACAACAACGTGTTTTTCCCGTTTATTGCATGGATATATACCGTTTTCTAATCGGCTCGAGCTGCGTTAATAAGTGTAGTGACTCCCTAATATTAATGCAAACCATCACAATTATCAGTAATACCTTATTAAATACCGTATTGGTTGGTTTTTAATAAATTTAGAAGCAGTAAGGCTCCTTTTGAAAAAGTTCGTCCAGGGAAGCGCTCACGCTGCCACCTTACCTATTTCTGCCGCCAACCTGTAATGTGAGCATTACTGCGATTCGGTTTTAAAGGGTAAGGGTGCTGGTGAAATTATAAGCACATGGAAGGTGTTAATTTACAATACTCAGGTGGTCACCTATTAATGGCTCCGTACCACAGACAGGCTAGGTTTGGTTTGTAAACTTGTAGTTGAAGTCAGTGGAATAGATGTTCTGTACGTTACACAATTCACATAAAGCTCATTATGCTATGCTTGCTATGGTAGAAACATTACTTCCGTTCTGCACCGTGGCAATGTAAATTGAGCCTATGAGATGTATAGCGCTGTGTCAATGTTGATACAGGTTTGTTGGTATTCTTATTATTGATTACTCGAAACAAGTATTTCTTTATTTTACTTGCCATAACAA